AGCTGCCATTTCGGTGCTAACAGCTAGCATTCAACATTTCTAGCACTGCCCAACCAGGTACTCATTTACAGCTGAGTGGACTGGAATAAGCGGAGTAAAGTAGCTAGCTCAAAGATACAACACAGTGTCGTACCGTGACTCGAATCCGCAACCCTTCGGTCACGAGCCTGGCGTCCTACCACTAGACTTATGTGCCTCCTTATATGATTATATGACTACTGTATAAAGGAAAACTGATAGTGCAGTGGGACATGAATCCAAAGTGTTTCATTAGAGTAAATCTGGAGTCAAGCTGCTAGTGGTAAAAATGGTACGGCACTGTCATGAAATATTTGTATAGAAAGGATCCCAGTGCCAAAACTTGAAACTTTTAATTGGAATTTCTTTTTACAAATATGACAAAAGTTTTATCATTTCTGAAAATCAATGATCAAGATACATAAATACCGAGGTAAACGAAACAAATCTACAATATTGTTCTGAGAAAAAAAATGCAGTTTGACCATGGCAGGATTTGAACCCTGACCCTCTGATCACAATACAGTAGCTCTTACCAACAGAGCAGTTAGATAAACATCAGTTCTGATCATTGACCCAATCCCACTACAGTTATATCCAAAACAAAATTAAAGGGATGTTACTGTTTGTAAGTTCTAAGAGTACAGTTGAGTTATCTAGTGTACTGCCCGGAATGGGACAGGGGTCCTTAATCAGTTTCCTTGTTTCCAAATCCTTTATCATATTAATATGAATGTTCATCATGAGAATGAAACCAATACAAGTAAACGGTTTTTAAACATATACATGTGTATACATTTGTGTATATAATTTTCAACTGCCAAAGAGAAGAATGTTGTGTATTGATGTTAACCTATTTCCTATATTTCAGGATGTGACAAACCAAATTTCTGAGTTGAACACACAGTGGACAGATGTACAGAGGGATTTTATATGTAAAGTTTAATTTCTTCTTGTTTATCATTTGTATTAAATTTGGTATTTGCTATAAAACGTAAATGTATCTGAAAATTGTATATGTGGTATTTATATTCATGTGATATTAACAGTTTTAGACTTTTGTTGAAGTCTCTGTCAATATCACTTTCTCATGTTCCTATAACCTCATTCACTGAAATAAGAGTCCTTAATTGTTATATTAAATGCACTTGCAAAATAATGTTTAAATCATAAAACAAAATGGAACCTAGGAAAATTGTTAGGAGGAAAGTATTGCAATTGGCAGAGAGCACAATTGAAATGATGTCATAAAGTGAATATTATTAACCTGCTGTTTCTAAAAATAGTAACATCAAGTCAATATCACAAATCACCAATCTCCACAGGATTGTGATACTACCAATGAGGATGTATAGAGGTGGTAATTGTTATATTAGATGTGCTAGCAAAATAATATTTAAATCATGAAACAAAATGGAACGTATACAAATTGTCAAAAGGAATGTACATGTACTGTATTTGGCAGAGAGCGCAATTGAAATAATGAAAAAAATAAAAAATATATATTGACCTTCTGTTTCTAAAAATAGTAACACAAAGTTAATATTACAAATCACTGATCACCACAGGATTATGATTTAACCAATGAGGATGTAGGGAAAATGTGTGTCATCTAATATACATTTATAGCATCTAGAGCAAATGTTCAGAAATAACTCATGGATAGCTAATTACGCCCTGACCAGTATCTAATATTAGAGAGCAACGTGGCATCAAAATGGAAATAACAGAAATGTTCAAATGTACGGTTGCCTCTCCTATATATATATATATGCCATTGAAAAAATGAAGCATGACCATGTCTCAATTGCTATTTCAACCCTTTCAAGGACAGTACAATTGTCAACAAATACAGAACAGTTTGGGCAGATGGCAACTAATCTGGACACAAAAATAAATGCTTAATAGTCAGCTAGTGAACATCAAAGCAGTTAAAACAGTCTTCAAGTGGTTTATTGTTTAGTTGGCTGTAAAAAGGCAGAATGCCAATTTTCAGGAATCATTTGTATTTCAATGAGACATGTTAGGGACACCAAATGACAACTCTAAACCAACTTTTCCTTTCAGATTCAATAGGTCAATGATGCATTGAATTCAAAAAATTTCATCTGACAGTGTACCTTTTCAATATCAATGCATGGAACAGTTTTAAAGGGCTTATTTGTTTAAATTACCAATAAACCAGTAGAAAGTGATATTTGTAAAAAATACAGTAAAATAAGTTCCCTAAGTACCTAAACTAAAAATCCTAGGTCAGGTTTAGGCAAACACACTGACCTTATTGATGTTATCTAAAAACTATCATCAAATTTACTGAATGAAGTGAATTTATATTTGCAATCATTTGATATTGTTAAATGATTATGTTCGACTAGGTTTTTTATGTACAAAGAAGTTGAACAGATGATATGTTGGTTTCAGATCATCTAAAGGAATACAGACAGATGTTTGAGATGATTTTGGAGGGGGAGAAGCATGTGGCCCAGGCCAAACAAAACTTGGTAAGTTATACATATTTCTCTCAGGACTGTTCCATAATTAGGTAACTGTAGGGGAGAGGTGCATGTGGGAGGCACTTTTTCAGAGAATCCACCACCGATAAAATCTTAAAATTGATTAAATATAAGGAATGGAAGGCAGATCCGGATTTAACCCTACCACCCATAATATATTAATACAGGTGACTCCCACCTCCCCTATACAATACATTATGGAATAGCCCTTATAGAAATACATGTTATAACAAAATTAACAAATAAGATTACCTGGTAGTATTGATATATGGAAATTTCGAAATAAAATCCTTTTCTTCAAAAGTGTTCCATATGCATGTAAATTACCTCTTGTGATACATTTTGCAGAATTTAAGTTGTCTGAAGTTTGTGTAACAAAAACACCAAAAATACCTGCAAGGATCAAACTTCTGGCAGTGCAAATCCTAACTTCAACGATTTCAACGATGCTGGTGTGGAAGAATCATAAATGCACAATATCAAAATGATAAATAAATGCCTTTACAAGGGAAGTAACTCTAAGCCAAAAACAAGTCCTTTTAATATGTTGATTCATTTTCTATATATAAAGGGTGATATGAATAAGTACTCCAAATAAATAAAAGAAGTAGAAAGAAATTTCAAAAATTTGAAATTGATTTCTTCTTCAAATTTATAACTGATGCAGTGGTACCTTTTACCTTTAGGACCATTCCAGAAATCATAGACACATAGGATAGATGGTATTAAGGAACTTTCTTTGTTAAATTGGTAACACTCTGATTAAAATGTATATCATTGTACAGCTCATTGTTAATACAACAGGACCAAAAACATACTTGTTTGCTATTAACTTCGACGAGAGCTAGATTGAAGCTCTGAAAGTAGCACATCTGCATGTACATTGTATGATTATAAAAATAATGTTTTGGAATATTGTTCTCTTTTAAACAGGCATTATGTGAGCAAAAGGAACTTAAGATCAGGAAGGAGTTAAGGAAAGCAGCCAAGGTATAAACTTTGTGATGTTTGTATAGCTCTCTCGGGAATAAAACTTCTGTACTAATTTCCATCTTCAAAATCCAAAGGTTCAGTTTTTGATACACATACTTTCTCTGCACCCTTTTAATATGTCAGGACAAATCAAAGGCAGCTATTTGATTGGTATCATGTACAAAATAACCTGATCAATCCCATTAGCGCTTGGCAGATACCTGTCCCTTTTATAGTTACAGAGTAGGGACACCCATGCACCTTCAAAGCCAGTCAGTTTTACTGTTATGCTGATGTGGGATTCTTTTGTTGTACATACAAAATTATCAAACTAGTCTATATGTATCATCCACAGTGGTGTGTATAGGGCTTTCAATTTTTATCATGAGATATTGTTAGGGTGTATAAAAGATGTGTATCTAGAGCAGAACCCTTGGATTTCGAAAATGACTAATTCCTTACAATTATAATTACAAACTGGGGTATTTGATGTTTCTTCAGCCATAACATAAACAAAAACCTATTGTACCAAATTTAAAACATACAGATAAGTCTGTATGATTCTTTTACCATTAAGCTAAAATACCATCACATCACATCATAAATGACTGTGATGGCAATTGCATTCTATAAGTCAGTTCAATAAAAAAAATCATCTGGGAGATTACGTAAAGATAGGGACATTCATAAAAGTCGAATAGTACGTGTGAAGCAATTTAAGAGATAATATACATGTACCAGCTAGACAAAGGAAAGTTTGATATGTTTTTTAAGAAATTTAAATCTTACACAACATATAGATAAGGTTAAGGATTAGCATGTATCATCTTACTTTTCTTATTGCAGAGAGCTTCAGCATCTGAAATCAGTATGTTAGAGGGTCGACTGGGCCAGGCTGAGCGAGCTAGAGAAGTCGCTGAAGTTGAAGGTATGACAGTACTCTGTAACTTTGTTGGTCTACGGTACAATGTAATCTGGTTAAACAAGTATACGGTGTAACTTTATTTACCCAGAGAACGCTGTAACCTTGTTTATTTTGATTATAGTGTAATTCTGTTTATAAAAATAACAATGTAGCCTTATTTATAAAAACAAAATCAGTAAACAAAAACAATAAACTAACCTTGTTTATCTACTGTACAGTGTAACTTTTCATTTCTGAAGAACAGTGTTAAGGTCACAAGTGGTTCATACAGATGACTCAGCTGGAAAACTCAAAATATGAACAGAGGCAAGGGGGGCACCAGATGAGTCAACTGGATGACCCAATATTGAGCTAAACAGGAGAGTGTGCTAGATCTACACCCTACCAGTAACTTATTCGATACATTGTATGCACTCTCTATCGATAGGCAAAATGTCCAGTGTTGGGTGACAGATGAAATTTACAATTTCGTCACATCATTGTTCAGGTAAACAAAACAAATCGCTCACTCAGTCATAGCTTAACAAAGGAACAAGTCAGTTTGAAACATTGTGACACATTTAATACATACATTGTTTATTAAGTTAAACTTTGAAAGTACAGTTTGACGTTATTTATCCAGTGTTGCATGATTAAAAGTACATTATTTTGATAGCCATAATGTAATTTACAGTCACACGTTAAAAAAAGTAGTTGTTTGCAATTAATATATAGTATTGCCACTGCTAATCTGAAAGATGATATTTTTGTTTTAACAGTCAGCGAGAGGGTCCGTGAGAACGAGGCTGTAAAGTTGATCCGTATGAAGGAGGGATTATTAAGAGTGTCCGAGGCCTATGTAGAGCTGGGCAGTAAATGTGCCATGATATTTGAAGCACAGAGGGTAAGTAAAGTACTACCACATACATACAGCCTCTTGATTGATTAATAGAATCTTCCCCTACCTTGAGAGTGTGACAGAGACATCTCCAACCCGAGGAGTGATGTTTTTGGTTATCTAACCCAAGGCTCTTCCGAGAGTTTGACAACCAAAAAATAACTCTGATGGTTGGAGATTTCTGTTACACCCTCAAGTTAGGGGATGATTATTTTTCTCCAATCCTATCATTTCAGTCACAAC